TCCGCACCCGGGAGATGTAAATCTTCGGGAGATGAACTTTTGCCTCTTGCGTCAGCCGAGGCTTCAACTTCAAAGGTCCGAAACTCTGACCACTGGTTGCTTTCTTCTTCCATGGAACAGACACCTCGAGGGGCCAGTGGTTAAAAATTAACCACTTAACTTTTCGTTCGCGACAGCGCCACCAATTCGTCCGATTTATTAATTCCTCTGGAATTCTCTCATCTTCCTTTTTTTTTTTTCTTCCAGTCCAGTAGAACCCGTTTAAACCCATCACGTCGAGTATTTAAAGTATATTCTTGTATTCCTTGTCGATCGAAGCGGCCGTCAAAATTTCGAACAAATCCTGATCCTACTAATCCGAAAAATTCCGATCTTCGTCTTCTTCCCGTTGCGCCTGTAGCGCCTAACTAGCCAGCTAGTCCGCCATATTGGCTGTAGCGCGAGGAGACGGCGTGCATGGTGGACGTGGTCCGCTCGCGAGAAAACGGTATCCTCGGCAATCGAAAGCGGCAATCGAAGAAGAAGCTAGGAACATTAGCAGCGACTCGGTCGAAAAATGGTAGAACGCGAGTTACAAGCAGGCGACTCAAGTTGTCGGTGGAAAGAAAAGAGCACGCGAGAGATGATATTTCGACGCGTTGTTTCCTAACTAAAAAAAATTCTCCGTCCAAATTTCTCAACTCCCACGCGTGGCCGAAGGCGTTCTCTCTCTCTCTCTCTGGTTGGAGAAACGCGAGGGGCTTCTCTAGGTGCATTCAACTCGTCCCTGGTTCGTGGTAGCGTTGGTGGGGTTTAATGGGCAAGCATGTCGTACCGTGAACACAGCACCGGCAATCATGACTTACGCGCGTATCGGCGCGCGCGAACCGCATAGGACGGCGGGCATAATGCCACGGGAACGCTTCGCTCGTGGCCTGTTTCAATTTAATGCACAATTGCTCGCCTCGTGTCCCGCTCCGCGTTTCCTTTCTTCGTCGAGATCCGCCCGGTTCTCTCTCGTCGGTGTGCCGGGGCCCTCTCCTTTACACATGCGCGCGTCCCTCTCTGCGGCCTGGTTGTTGGACTTTCCAGAATAATGCAACCACGCGAAATAGCGTTCTCTCTCTCTCTCTCTCTCTCTCTCGTAGGAAGGGGAAATAATCTTTTTTTCCTTTTCTCTCTAACGGAGAGATTTTAGAGAGAAAGAGACGGGATCGGTGAGAATTGGATGGATCGGATGGATGATCGGATGGACAACGATTGGTTTGATAATATAAACGGTTCTTGGTGTACGTTTGAGAGATTAGAAATTAGACAGAGTGTCGTGAGAATTTATATAACAATTTATCCAGCGATAGATGGATGGATGGTGGGTAGGTGGGAGTCGTGAAAGGATGATATTGCGAATTTAGAGTCGGTTTGGTAGTGAGCTTCGTGAAATTTTTTCGTATCCCAGTTTTTTATATGGTGTAACGGAAAGGGGAACACGCGAATAAAGGAAAAATGAAAAATACATGAGATTCGTGGAAACGTATCGAGCGTGAAATCTAACTTAACAACGTTGAGAGATACGTTTCTTCCGCTTAATCTGATGATCTAAAATCGTTGAATCAAGCGCATTGTATTCTCTTCTTTCTAATTGCGTATACCTCGTAATTATTATTGTTAAATAATTAATAGTATCGGGTTCGTTATATCAGAATTATGAAAATGATAACACAAGATAATAAAAAATCTTTTTTCACGAGATTGCAATCTTGCAAACTACTTCGCACGCGTGTATATTTAATGAAAAATACTCGTGTAACGATTAAGATTCCATTATTAACCGAAGTATCATCCGTATTATTATTATTATTATTATTATTATTATTATTTGAGACGAATCATGTCAAAATATAATAATGATATAAAAATTTGATTGTGATCAATTAAAACGGGTTTTGTCGAAACATCTCGACCTCGATCTTCGAAACGCGAGCATCCTCCTCCCTCCCCCCTCCCTCCCTCCTACCCTTTCTCCCTTTCCGGCATTAAACGATTTAATAAGCGCATTACGTAATCAGAGAAACGATCCTCGTTTCTCTGAAAAAAACGACCGTAGTGAGCTGAATTATCAAGAGCCCTCTTCCTGACGCGGTTCTCCGCGAAAAACCGCTATTACCATCGACCGATAATCAAGCCGATAACGATCGTCCAGGTAGCGAAGAGAATGTGAGGCTGGTAGAATGCATTTTGCATGCACCACCACGATATCCCGGATTACGGCATGAGCGCTGTTAATTGGTGCGCACAATACGATTGTGCCAGGACGCAACTGCCATACCGGTACGACTGCATTCTCCTCGCTGGCTAGCCCGAATTCTTCTCCGTGCGTTCGAATTCTTCTCTGGACAATCTGGATAATTATTCCTAATTCGGTACGTGATCACGTACAGTGTGAATGAAGTTGATGGACAAGGGAAAAATGGACGCGCAATTCGCGCAAATTCGGACGGACAAGAGGAGAATCCTTTTTGGATTTGGATTGATTTTTTTTAATCATTTTGAGGGATAACAATTTTCGATAATTCTAATCATCCGACAAAATTACACAAAGAATGAATAAATATACAATACAAACTTGAAACGTATATATTCGAAAAAGCGGGGAATAATAATGAAATCGATGCCACGATTGATTATTTCGATATTGGTATAACATGCAATGGCATACCGTCATCACGGTCGAACGATTCGCAAAAAGAAAAAAGAAAAAAAAAAAACGGAAGCAAATACACGGGAAGCACGGGAGGATCGTTTTCCAGTTCAATGCCAGACTCGATATTGTATATACCCTGTTTCATTCGCCGACCTCTTTGCATAGAGGGTTGTGACCGAAAGATCTCCATTCGGTGGTCAGGATGTCGCGACGTGGCGCACGTAGACGACGATAACGCGGTTTCATTGCGTGCTTCGATCGAATAGCAACATCGTGGCAACGAACGCGGAGGCGAAATCAATTAACTCGGCCACGTGTGTGGACGCACACGAACCTGACCTCCCGTTTTCCATTGTACAAGCGGGTAGTAGTAGTAGTAGTACGCGTAGTACAACCTACAGAGTTACGTATACTATACGTACGCTTTTCCCGTACGTGTACAGGCAGCGTTGTCCTGAACGAGTACGAGGCCTGTACCCGCGTACATTAGCCGCGTGGGTTGCCATGGGCAACCCATGACTAACACACGTTCCAGCATCACGTGTCTCTCCTGCGTCTGTCTCTTTCTCTCGTGGTTCGCGCCAGTGCCGCCCTAACTGGTGGCGCTGCGCTCTTGTCATTTAGTTTCGATTTTATAATCGAATTTTGTAACAATTTTCTGTTGTTGTGTCGTTATTTTTTATACAGAAATATTTTACAAATGAAAATATAAATGTGTGTACGAAGTTTTCGTGAGTGTCGGGCAATTGGAACTCTCTGATTAACAATTCGATTTCTGTGTTCAGAAGATACCTTTCTCGAAGATATCGTTTGGAAGATAGCAACGAAATAGAGGTTAGTTAATATCGTTCAAGATAATTATTTGATCGATCGTTTAATAGATCGTTTAAGAGATAATTATCAGAAATCAAAGTAATTTGAATTCATTCTCGAGTGAAATTTTGATAAAAGCATTCTTTAAATATACTGTAACGTAAGAAGAGATTATTTATTCAATACGTTTTTTGTACGTTTATTACGTTTGTATCGAACAAGTGACTGGAGATAGGTAGTTAAGTAAGTAGCGGTAACGGACGTGCGATATTTTAGTTGAATTTTTTACCACTCGTTTGCTTGTTACGGTACTGAGGGTCATTCTTCCTCGTTCTGCCTAAGTTATGCCCATCTTTTTCTAAAGTATTCCGCTTCTTCAAGTGCTCTAGCATCCAGGAGGTTTGCTCCTCTTCTCCTTGTCGTTCTTATCGTGACATACTTGCCATTTTCATCGCTCCTCTTTCTTCCTCGATGGTACCTACCTCAGGGATGTATCGTGGTTCATTGCGGTTCAACGATGCGTAATTTTTCAGAGACACGGCTTACGTAATATTTCACGAACTTGGTTCAAGGGTGGTCCAAATTATCGATTATTCGAATTATTCGTATCGTCGTATATTCGTATTTATCTATTTTATAACGGATGATCTTTTTTTAATATTTAATCGTTAAATTCATAAATGCCTTTGTCAGCTTAACAAAAAACTTCGTTCCCGTTCAACGAAGCAACGAAGTACTTGATACTAATAATCTAGTGGTGGAATTCCAATTGTCTTATCCTTTCGAGAAACAAGATCGTTCCTTGTTCTTCGAGGATCTTTTCTCGCGAATGATTCTTTCTTATCGGCAATTTGTTTATCGGCCCCACAAATCTATATCTCGAATCCCGTAACGCGCGAGCATAAAAAGATGAAATCCCTGGCGCTAGAAGAAAGTCGCTATTTCTGGTATCCCTCGGGGCGTTAGATCCAGGGTCTCGACTGAAAACGGATCGTCCCTGAACTCGTAGCGACTCCACGCGAAAGGGAAGGGGTCATGGAACTGGAGAGAGGGAGGAACGGATCGAGTTGAACAGAGATGGACAATTCCTGGTGGGGGAGGATGAAGGACAAGAGCGGGAGGAAGAGAAACGGAACAGGGATGCTGCTCTTGGACAAAGATAGGGCATACGGAGTAAGAAGCGAGACAGAAATGAGAGAACTATTTCTGGCCACCCTTGGCTACGTTTTTTTCTTCTTTCTCATACTTCTACTCTACCCTATCTTTTTTCTCGTTTCCTCGTCTTTGCCCAATTACGGATGATAGTTGCCGTTTTTTTCGTTCACTCGCGGAAAGAAGAAAGTCACGAAAGAACGAAGAAAGGAGAGGTCAAGCAGAGAAATGCATAATGACGGAAGAAAGAAGGAAGTCCGAGGATGGTGGAGAGAAATAGAGTCGAGCTAAAGCGACGAGGGAAGCTGTAACGAAATACATATAAAGAGCGCATATATAATATATGCGACGAAAGAAAGATAGAGAGAGAGAGAGAGAGAGAGAGAGTTGGCAAAGAAACAGAAACGAACGAAACGAAGAGGGAAAACAGGAGGCTAACAAAGGGTGGGAGGAAGATGGCGTAAAGGTAGCACGATAGAGGTTAACGTACAGAGAACAGAGAGGGCACTAGAGTTGCGGGGAGAGTTGTAGAGTGGGACCAAGATGGGATGACGAAACTACGAGGAGGAGAAAGAAGAAATTAAAGGGAGAAAGAAGGTTGAACGAGAGGAAGATAAACGTTAGGTCTGACTGAATCATCGAAGAAGGATGGAAGATACGATGCGGTTGCGAGTAACGGGGAAGGAACGACGAGAGAGAGGTAGTGAAAAGGCGACGAGTGCGAGAGAGACGGAAGAGCGGCGGACGATTCAGTGAAAAGAGCGAGAGTGAGCGAGAAACGGAGTTTTCGTGGGCACAAGAGAGAAAGTATTACTGTTCCCTGTCCGTCGAATAGAGAGGGAGAGGGCAGATGAAGCACGTCTGGATAAGAGAAGGAGAGAGTATGAGCGAGGAAGGAAGAGCAGGGACGAGACAGAGTGCGCCCACCGAGCCGCCTCCATACCACCTCCAGCATTCCCGGCCTGCACACACAGTTGCAGCTGCACCGCCGCCGTGGTTCGCTCGTGTGCACATGCGAGACTGCGCGCGCGTCCATCTCTCGCTCGCTCGCTCGCTCGCTCGCAATCATCTCTTCGCCGGTACGCTGTGTGTATTAACGACGCGTTCTCTTCTCGAATATCGAACCGTATAGCGTGTAAGTTTTTCCTCTCGATAAGAGTGTGTCGTGTCGACCAAGATCGAGCCAGTTTTCCTCGTGACTTTGATCGTGTAAAGAGGATCATCGATCGGATCATCGTCGTCAATGTTCGTGAAGGAAATTTCGGAAAACTTTCATTTTCCAAAAATCGTATCTTATACTCTTTTCCAACGAAATCATTCCCCCCCTCCTCCTCCTTCCTCCCCCTCTCCCCAGTGAGATACAGTGAACAAATTTTTTCGAAGCAAGATTTCTTCGCGTATCATCGGAGCATACGCGATTGGTGCACACGTGCATTCGTGGTCCCGGTACGCGAACGCACATCGAAATTTCGTCACCTTGTTAATTCCAGGAATATATTGCACGATCGATCAGAAAAACTTTGACATTTGGCAAATGTCAGCGGTGTACCCCGGCGGAGTGGCTTCCGCATAATCGAAGCGTAGCTCGTGATAAACGATAAGAAAAAGCAAGTTACGGTTGAGTGTTTCTCTGTTTTTCGATACACACGCACGCACACACGAGTATCGCGGTTGTTTCCTTGGCTGTTGTGATATCCGATCGATTTCAAGGGAGACATGTGATCTCGCGTCGAAACGAGCAAGGAATAGGATCGAGAAGAAGCATCAGCTTGACCGGTCGCTCAGAGGCTCGAAAGGGATTCGAAGATGGATTGGGTGAGAAGGCAGGACATTAAGGAGGAGTCACCGGAAACTCCTACCGCTCTGACACCGGATGAGCCCGACGAGTCCTACTTCGAGGAAGACACCTCGATAGACGAGGGCATGGTACGTGATTCGCGTGGCTATTGCCACTTACACTACCGTTCGTTTATCAAACTATCAACGAATCATTTTATTCGTAAATTTCAACCTTGAGATTCGTCGAGCCATTCTTTTTACGATTCTTCGAGATAAATAAACCTCGTTAAAAGAATCCTCGAAAAGATCATAACTTTTAGAAGGTGCGATTTAGAAGAATTTAGAATTCGAGTAATTCGTTCAGGTCACTGATAAATCGTGAAAGGCATTCTCGATATTTGCAAATCATAGCGAGGGAACTCGACGACTAAAACGAGTTTCGCAACGAGGAAATTTTGCCATTGTTTTCAACCATCTATTGCGCGATGATTCATTCATTCGAGTTTTGAGCAATAATTTTTTTCCTAATTCGTATAATAACGATCGACGAGCACGAAGGAAATCGGACTCTGAGATTAATCGCAAAATCATCAATTTTCGATTGCGTGATCGCGTATGGCTTGAAACGAGTGTGTCACCGACTCTCGTATTCCGTTATTAATGGAAAAGTATGCATGTTAATTTAACGCGTCGCCACGCACCGAGAACGTTTCGAAAGTTTGTTCCGATCTTTACGCCGATCTCGTTCCTCTCGAGAAACTCGCGAGGGAAATATTTACAGGAGACGTTACGTATCGATTTCAATAGAATATTGTATAAGGAAAGTACACACGAAAGATCGAAGATTAAATTTTAATCTTCCTCGTTCGAAAATTTAATTCAATCCTCTTCTCGTAATATCTTCTTTGTAAAACGTTGAACGTATCGTAAAATGAATATTTATCGATATCTGGATTTTAACCAATCCTGGCACCGCAATAAACCTTTCCTCGAAGTCGGCATAGATAATATTACAATACGGATTCTAATTCTCGAGAAGTAACTTGGAAGTTACTACTACTACGACGCTTTATACGCTGCGTCATTGATCTTCAATCTTTCGGCCATAGATCGTTGGGGAGAAAGCGTGTACCTCGACTAACTCGATTCTATTTCACGCGCATTTGCTCGCCAGTAATCGTCGCGGGCGGCTCGTGTCGTGAATCCATGCCCGATAATAATTTAAATTAACGATGCTCGTGTTATGTTGGCCCACGGCCACGTAATTCAGCCGAGCTTTTTTCTTCCGGCGAACTCTCTCTCTCTCTCGGAGATCCGAGAGACGGGGATTTAGGTCTGCCATTAATTTTGCTTTATCTCACCTTGACCCTTCCCCTCCTCCCCTCTTCTCTCGTCCCTTTTTTAATCTTTACGAGGCTACGCGAAGTAAGAAGTTATTACGACGCTTCCTTCCGGCGAGGCGCGCCTGTAATTGTTATCATTTTGAGCGGAAGATGCTATTCTCCCTCTCTCTCTCTC